TAAATTTATTTAATTTAAAATATATGCTCTCCACCTCAAATTATTAGTGTATTTCCCCTGTACATCATACTTTCCCTGTTAGCAATTCAGTCATGCCAGTCATCTATCTAATTCTTTTCAGTGGAAAATTTTTGAATTGAAATAACATGATTTCCAGTTTGCATTGGAAGTTCATTTAAAGTTAATCAGGGTCTCCTGCCTCCAAATCTTTCCATATCTGGTCTCAGCTTTCATTTATCTTACTCCATTCTTGAGATTAAGGATAGACTATAGGAATTTATAGGTCTACAATTTTTTTCAAATTGCACCCCAATAATTAGTTTTAAGAAATTAAAATTTTATTTGCATAATATTTTTGAGTGCTGTTTCATCTATCTTCAAACTACAACGATTAAACAAAACACACTGCAATGCTTCAAATTATAGAAGAAATAAATAAATTCTCCATACCTGCTATTTACATGAATTAGGAGTTGATTATTATAGCATAAATTTAAAACATAAACACTAATAAAAATAATAAAATGAGGGCAATATTATAGAAGAACAAAATTATTTGTACCATTACAAAAATTTTTAAACAATTTGTGCAAAAATAGTAATAACTAATAGTAACAATTAGTGGTTTTCCAACATTTTATTCGTTATATTTGTGTTTACTGTGTGATATATGTGATCTTAAATTTCTGAAATAACAACTAACTCCAGCCACAGATATAAATAGCAGATGTGACTCGAGTGAAAAATGCTTATTTCTATTACAAGTTGAGACATTACAGCAGTGGTCCTCAACCTTTCTGAGGCTGCAGAACACCATTCTTATACTTTTTATAACATGGAGCATTAGCATCAATATATTCAAAAATTGATAAGCAATTCCATGTTTGCTATTCTCAGGAAATAATGAAGCAATAAAGCAATAAACTTTAATATATTTAATAAAATAGAAACATGGAATTGTCTATGAATATAGCAATGGGAATAAATTTGAATAAAAGCTTTAAAATCATTTCTTTTGTGGAACACTTGAGGTAAGTTTGTGGAACACCTGCGTTCCACAGAACACTGATTAAGAACCACTGCATTACAGTATGTCCTTGTTTAAACATTGTAGCACAATACCCAAAAGTATTAGGTAATTAAATCTTTTAATTCTCAAAAACAGTTATTATTGAGTGTTTTAGATAAAAATAAATTAAATGTTCATAATTTATCTATTATTTATCATTCATTATATTATAGTCAAATCAACTGGCCAAACAGCTGAGGCAGTAAAGGCATCAGCCTACCACTCTGGGCACTCAAAATTGAATATGGGCAGAGAACCTCTGGAAGTTTTAATGGCTGGTCTCTTCTGGATATGTCAGGTTCCATCTATTACCACTGGCTACCCCACTATGAGTCTGGCTGAACCATAAAGGGGATAAAAAAATTATCCTGTTTTGTACCCAAAGGACAGAAAGAAACAAAAACAAGAAAAAATAAATAAGAAAACTAATAATTAAAATAAGTTACTTTTATTTAGCTGTAAGAAAAGAATAAAATTGAATTAATTATGTTGTTTAATAAGTTTATGCTAAAACCTTGCACATAAACTTATAAATATATATTGTGTTGTTATACTTAATTTTAATTAAATTTATTTCAGTGGAGTTGTTAAATTAGTTGAATCTCACCACTGATTTTAATGGACTTTTATGATTTTCTATTTATTATTTTTACTTTTGTATTGTTTTATTAGATCTAGTGCTATTGCACATTTAATAAATAATAGTGTAAATATGTCTTCAAGATTTTATATGCATTGTCCAATGAAGAAAGATTTGATTCACTTTAAAGCAGTGGTATGAATCCTAAACTTTCATATTAGTGATTTTTCATATCAATATTAAGACATAATTTTGGTATAATATTTTTTAATATTTTGTATAATATACAATATTATATTATATACAAAATTTGTATAATATAAGACACAGTTTTGTATAATATACAAAGAATACTATAAGAATTTTAGTGTGTATGGTGTTTTTAGTAGTAGATATTTAAAAAGATTAAAACGATAAAGACAATATTAAGGAACACAGCAGATATGGATCAAAAGTAATTTATGAGAAAGAAAAAGAATACTAATATAATTTATTGAAGAAAATTATTAATAAGTGAAAGATTGATAAAGTTTTAAGTGTTTGTTTAAAAATCTAGGTCTATGATTATGGTAATTAAGTTAAGACCCAAGATTTAAATTTTGCATTATTGAAACCTGAGTACATAGTCATTATATAAGTATTATATCTAAAAATTTTTGTAACTTTTATGTTTTTGAAAAATATTCAAAATGATGGGCTGTTTATAACAGCATATTAAGGATGCATTTATTAGATGCTGAGTCAGATAATAGTTTAATAAACATTTTTGAAAACTAATTAACTTTATTGAGTCAAATACTGGTTTTGAATATTGTATTAAAGGAGTAGAAGAATTTTGAGATATTTCAATTATAAATGTCTTTAATTTTATTTACTATAATTTTGTTATAATAAATATATTTTTAAACAATGATCAATTATTTTATTAAAATTATACTTAAATATGGTTTTATAAACTTACTTGATAGCAGCTTCTAGAAGGAATAATCCTGTCAACATATGTTTTTCTACAAAGCAGATTTTTCTATTATTATTTATATTTGAAAATTTTATTTTAAAATGATTTACTTCTTTCTTTGATAAAAAAGTATTTAAAGTTCTATGAATAGTCTGAATACCCATTATGATCAATGGAATGAATACAGATATTGGAATAGGATATGATAAATGATTGTATCTGAAAACAGAAATGAAAAATTTGATAAATACTCAACATTAATTGCAAAAATAGTCATTTAATTTATTAAATTAAAATTCTTAACAACCTTAAAATTAATTACTGTATATCTACATACAATTCAAACTCTCTAATGTCTAATTTGCTTAATTAAAACAATTGTAATCTGGTAAATTTCAACAATTTTGGAATTAAAATGCATTCTTTAAATTCTGAAGTCTTACTACACCATTTATAAAATACATAAAATATATAGTGTACTAAAAGCAAGCTAATATGACATTAATTTAAGATTCTGAAAATTGGAAGATACTAGGAACAAAATAATACCTAAAGTTTCAGTTCTTGATTTTATTGATAATTTTATTTCAACAATACTACCATCTACTTTGTGAAGACAGAAATTAATAATAAAAGTGAAAAGACAAACTTAGAAATTTTGAAACAAATAAAGTAAGCTCTAACATACAATTTTAATTTTAAGATTCAATTAGATATGTTTTAAAATAATGAAAAACTGTAATCAGTTAGCATTCTATATAAGTGCAGATTAGCTGTTTTTTTTATTTTTGCCATTAATTTCATTCATCAGTTCTATGACAAGTATTTGGATTATAATTAAAAACACTAAACATATAAATCAGCAGATTTTTATAAAAAGTGCAAACATTTTTGCCCATATTGAACAGGCATCATCAGGCAAGCTAATCCCCCAAAGCTGAAACAAACAGGGAATTGCCAAACACGTGTGCAAAGGGGAGGTGACAAATGGCAAGAGAAAGGGGAGGATGAGAGGACAGTAAGGTTTATAGTTCAAAGAGAGACTTCCAAGCTGTCCAAGAAGGAGTCAACATTACAAAAATTAATAGTGATGTTATTGCAAGTGGCCTTATGTATTTCCACCTGCTCAAGATGTTTGAGAAAGGGTTGTCTGGAAGAGCTATGAAAGAGGCATGCTTTGCAGAATTCCACATCAGGGTTGCTCATGTCATGACATGACATTGTCAGGGTTAGAGGCATAGATAGCAAACACCATGTTGGCCAATCCTTTTGTCATGGATGTCTGATGTACTTTGAGGCAGATGTTTAAGTAGCACCTATGTATTCTAAGTGGTGGCTGGATCTATGATCGATGACAGGGAGTGTAGATGCCTGGTTGAAGGTGCATGTCTGGATGGTCCTTAGCATTGTGGAGGAGGGAGGAAATTGAGAGACTATGGAATGCTAAACAAAAGTTAATTCTCCTGGATATTTTCTTGTAAAGGGTGGATAGCTTTCTATTGTAAGTGATGGCCCTATAACCTGTGTCCTAGATGCAATTTATCTGCGAGGCAGAAGTGGAGGAGGAAAGACAATTTATAACACCTTTAATGGTGTATAGGGAGTAGCCATACTGAGTTGCATATTGGGTGATCATAAGAAGGAACTCTTTATCTCTATCATGTGTGTTCAATTTGGATTATAGTTGTTACAGAATAACAAGAATTCAAATACTGATCTTAGAGCTGTCTTTGCTCTGTTATAATAAAAAAAAAAAAATTATTAAACTATTGTAATCTTACAAATTTAATATCAAAAATGTTAGTGACTATTTGATATTAATTCACAATTAATTAAGAATTACTGTGTTCTAGACTCATTCAGAATATGATCTAATTTAAATATCTATAAAGTAGAAAGAAAATTGGATTTGACAAAACTTTCAGAAGAATTAACATATAAGAAAACAAGAAACTGTTATTGTATAGTAAAATAAACAATAAAATGCAACCTTTAAAAAGAATCATTTTTCTATTTAAAACAAATGTAAATAATTTGTTTTTATCTGAGTGACGTATTTAAAGATAAGGAGTGCAGTAAAAAATATTGTTTGCATGGAAAGGCAAAAAGTCTAAAGCTAGACCCNTTTTTTTATTTTGTACAAACAAAATAAATATATTGCAAAATATAAAAACAATAAAAAATTATACTTCAGAAGTTAATTTAATATCAAAACATAAAATATTTGAGTAGTCCAAGACATAGCCAAAGATTGCAGCGCCACAGCACTGGCGAAAATTTAAATTTGCCAACTGGAATTCTTTTGGATGACTGACGTTTCGGATGATTGACTTTTGGATAATCGACGCTCTACTGTATATATAACCCAAAACACTGCTTTTCTGAAGTTCACATCTTTATTACATCTACTATATCTGTATTACAATATATCTATAATTATATATTGTAGGAACTTAGTGCCTTTAGATTCCTTCAATCTTCTAGTAATCTGAAAGTGCTAGGATAATGATGAAAACTCCAGAAAAGCAGTGTTTTCGTGAATATATAGGAAGAATCATATATTTATGTTCAATTTTTATTTGATGAGATACAATGTTATCTGAAGAAATTACAAAATTAATCTTTTGTGCTAAATTATATTCTGTTATCAGAAGAAACATTAGACACAGCATATTCTATTTACAAACAAAGGATTCTAGGATTATCTGAGTAGACATATAAAAATAAATATAACATTAAAAAAGATAAAGATGTAAATATCAATTGGCAGTTCAAAAGTGCTATATGAATACTGAACAGTCAATGCACATTAATAGCATAGGGACAAATATTAACCATATAATTTAACAAATAGAGATTTTACAGTGTTTATTTTGTTCTTTATCATTTTTGAACTTATAAATAAAACTCTCTGAAAATTATAAACATAGTAGAGCTATATTTTTAAAAAGACATAAATAATAATTAAAATAATTTTTTTAGAAATTTCCACACTATTAATGTAAGAATTAATTAACTTTAATTTTTAAAAATGATATCCAAAACATATTTATCTTAAAGAAAAAATGACTAAATAATTTTAATAAAAAGATTTTAAAATTTAATTTGAAAAAAATTATTGCTTACCATTAAAAATGGCAAAAATATTTCTTTCAACGAAGTAACAACAATTCCAAATAAATCATTTTGAGTTTTACATTGATTCATTTCAGTTGTTTTAAATTCAGAATGTATAGCATTAAATGTTTCTTCTTGAATGATGGAATCAGAATTATATTTATTAAGTAATCTGTTACATTAACAATAACAACAAAATTAAACTTGTTCTAACATTTTTACTTGTGTGTTAACTATATGAAAATATAATACATATAAAAATAAATTTTAAAAATGTATTATTTTGTTCTTTATCATTTTTGAACTTAGACTGTCAATCAAATTAAATAAACAAGAATACTATGCTATTTTACATATAGACTAAATAAATGTTAATCAATCATTCAGAGAAAAATAATTACAAAAAACTAAATAACTTGACAAATTACTATAAATTTTTCAAATTTTATTTTTTTCTAATTTTAATTCAATTATTCAAGACCAGGACTATTAACAAAAAGAAAAAAATATAAGATAAAATAATTTCATTCAATAGATGAATAAGTTGCATAAATATTTTCTTGCTAGATAAATTATTTCTAAATTATCTAAAGATTTTATTTATTTATTTCTAAATTATTTTATTTATATCTTTTATATATTTATATCTATTTCTAAATTATTTTCTAAAGTTTGCAAATGATTCATTTTTGACTGATTTCCAAACATATTTATTTGAATAAGTATCTATAAATTTCCCAATATTAATTTTACCATAGACAGTAAAAAAATAAATATATAAAAAAAGAAATATTATAACTATAAACTGCATGATCTTTTTACAAACTATTGAGCTACCAAAATACAAATGTAAGTAATTGTTTATTTTTCTGATAAAATCTGTGTATTTTTTGTAGTTTGTGAAGTAGGAATTGCTCTTATATTTTCTAGATTAAAATATTCTACAAATTCAAAAATAATTTACAAATAATTTTTATTACTGTTACAGTAAAACTTCAAGTTAACAGACTAATTCAGGCAAGGGGTGTTCATTAAAGCTGAAATTCTGTTATAGGCTATAATAAAGTAGGTTTTCTAAACACATGCATTAAAAAATTGAAAATTAGTTAGTTTATGTTTTTACTTATGTAGATACATTTGTGTAATTAAAATTAAGCATATATGAGAAGTTTAATTTCACAGAAAAGTTTTCTATATGTATTATTACTTATGTACTCACCATAGTTCCTGAGAATGCAATAAACAAATACAGAATATGATCTAAATCAAAGCAAAGAAACAAACATTTTATGGAAAATACACTTTATTTTATTTAACTAAACAGATAATGTTCATGAAAAGAAAAAATTTAAATTTGACAAAAACACAAAAAAGAATTTCCTATTTATTTGCATTCAGATGAAGGTATATCAAGTGGCATGAACTTAGGAGCAGTGAGTCTTGGATTTGAAAAAAAAATACTATTAATTGAATTACATATAAAAATCATTTTAAAATTAACACCCTGTTAATTTTCACATATGACATATGGACTGGGAATTTTGTTTGTTAAATTGAGGTTTTACTGTATTTTAAAAGGATACAATTATCTCATAATATTGGGTTGTTTGGAAAGTAAGTTAATTTCTTTCCTGTGGAAAAAACAATATTTTTATTATAAATAAATATTTTTATTGAATTATATATCAACCATTTTGGTCAAATACTGTTCAAGTTTTTTTATGTTTCAGGGACAAAGAACTAGATTTTATTACTTTACTATAGAGCTTTTATTTTGCATATTTCTACTTTTAAACACAAAGGAAAAAAAAAGGGGATCTGACACAAAGAGGGTTCTACTTTTATATATGGAACCAGAGCACCCTCTGTGGGGAAATATCCACAACACAAATAGCAGAATTAAAAAAACATTAAAATTATTTAGATTACAACAGTAGCAATGATGATAATAATAGCAGCAACAACAACAATAATAATAATTATTATCTTCCTTTTTTACCTTCTCAACAAATACCTGTTGGCATTGTTTCTGGTAGTAGCATTATTTCACATTCATAAAAGTTTTGATCATTGCTTACAAAAAATTGATCCAAGTGATTTTTGACATTGTTATTTCAAGTAAATGTCTTACAGTTAAAAAAAATTTGTATAGACCGGAACAAGTAATAATCTAAGTGCGCTCAATCTGGTAAATATGGTTGGTGTGATAGTATGTCCCATCTAAGTTATAACAGTTTCTGACGAGTTACCAAACTTGTGTCAAATTTGACATTATCGTGGTAAAACACTACACCTGTTTTGTTGATCAATTCTAGCTGCCTTTTCTGTTTGATGATATTACTCAATTTGTTTACTTGGCAGTACACTTTCAAATCAATTGTTAAATTGTCTGGTAATGGCTCAAAAAAAAAAATTTTTCTATATTGAAATTGCCAGAACAAAATTTTGTAAACCAGTTTTGGCACTGTCTTTCTCTCAACACATCATCTCTATACATGTGCCACAATTTTTTTCTTGCTTGAACAGCAACAGCATTTTGAATTTTTGGTAATAAAAAAGCAAAATATGCCGAAAATGATGCTTTCGATCTTTCATATTTAATGGGACATAAAAAATAAACAATTGCACAGAATCAAACAAAATTTTTTACAAATAAGCCTTAAAATGCTAGTTGTCAAAATATATAATGATAATATGGTTTAGAATGAAAATGGCGGGAAAAATAAAACTAATCCGTCTAGTGGTAAAAAAAATGAACTTACTTTCTGAACAACCTAATATAATAAAGCAAACTTGCTTGATTCCAGAACAAAAATTTGGTTTTTAATTTTATCTATATTTTTATGATTTAGCACTGTTTTTCAGGATAATAAATTATGAAATAATAATATTACATAGAGATTTATAAAAGATCATCTGATTTAGGTAAATTAAGTGAAAGCAAATTACACAATAATTACATTATACAATTCGGAGTTCAGCAGTAAAAAATAATGCATTATATACTTAGTGAATTAAATGATAGATAAGTTATGTTATATTTATCCAATTCCTTATATTAACAATTAAATCACTAACGAGCAATTATTTATTGTGACATCATCACAATGCCAGACTGCAAGTTTTAATCATATTTTTTTTAAATTTATTTAATTTAAAATATATGCTCTCCACCTCAAATTATTAGTGTATTTCCCCTGTACATCATACTTTCCCTGTTAGCAATTCAGTCATGCCAGTCATCTATCTAATTCTTTTCAGTGGAAAATTTTTGAATTGAAATAACATGATTTCCAGTTTGCATTGGAAGTTCATTTAAAGTTAATCAGGGTCTCCTGCCTCCAAATCTTTCCATATCTGGTCTCAGCTTTCATTTATCTTACTCCATTCTTGAGATTAAGGATAGACTATAGGAATTTATATGTCTACAATTTTTTTCAAATTGCACCCCAATAATTAGTTTTAAGAAATTAAAATTTTATTTGCATAATATTTTTGAGTGCTGTTTCATCTATCTTCAAACTACAACGATTAAACAAAACACACTGCAATGCTTCAAATTATAGAAGAAATAAATAAATTCTCCATACCTGCTATTTACATGAATTAGGAGTTGATTATTATAGCATAAATTTAAAACATAAACACTAATAAAAATAATAAAATGAGGGCAATATTATAGAAGAACAAAATTATTTGTACCATTACAAAAATTTTTAAACAATTTGTGCAAAAATAGTAATAACTAATAGTAACAATTAGTGGTTTTCCAACATTTTATTCGTTATATTTGTGTTTACTGTGTGATATATGTGATCTTAAATTTCTGAAATAACAACTAACTCCAGCCACAGATATAAATAGCAGATGTGACTCGAGTGAAAAATGCTTATTTCTATTACAAGTTGAGACATTACAGCAGTGGTCCTCAACCTTTCTGAGGCTGCAGAACACCATTCTTATACTTTTTATAACATGGAGCATTAGCATCAATATATTCAAAAATTGATAAGCAATTCCATGTTTGCTATTCTCAGGAAATAATGAAGCAATAAAGCAATAAACTTTAATATATTTAATAAAATAGAAACATGGAATTGTCTATGAATATAGCAATGGGAATAAATTTGAATAAAAGCTTTAAAATCATTTCTTTTGTGGAACACTTGAGGTAAGTTTGTGGAACACCTGCGTTCCACAGAACACTGATTAAGAACCACTGCATTACAGTATGTCCTTGTTTAAACATTGTAGCACAATACCCAAAAGTATTAGGTAATTAAATCTTTTAATTCTCAAAAACAGTTATTATTGAGTGTTTTAGATAAAAATAAATTAAATGTTCATAATTTATCTATTATTTATCATTCATTATATTATAGTCAAATCAACTGGCCAAACAGCTGAGGCAGTAAAGGCATCAGCCTACCACTCTGGGCACTCAAAATTGAATATGGGCAGAGAACCTCTGGAAGTTTTAATGGCTGGTCTCTTCTGGATATGTCAGGTTCCATCTATTACCACTGGCTACCCCACTATGAGTCTGGCTGAACCATAAAGGGGATAAAAAAATTATCCTGTTTTGTACCCAAAGGACAGAAAGAAACAAAAACAAGAAAAAATAAATAAGAAAACTAATAATTAAAATAAGTTACTTTTATTTAGCTGTAAGAAAAGAATAAAATTGAATTAATTATGTTGTTTAATAAGTTTATGCTAAAACCTTGCACATAAACTTATAAATATATATTGTGTTGTTATACTTAATTTTAATTAAATTTATTTCAGTGGAGTTGTTAAATTAGTTGAATCTCACCACTGATTTTAATGGACTTTTATGATTTTCTATTTATTATTTTTACTTTTGTATTGTTTTATTAGATCTAGTGCTATTGCACATTTAATAAATAATAGTGTAAATATGTCTTCAAGATTTTATATGCATTGTCCAATGAAGAAAGATTTGATTCACTTTAAAGCAGTGGTATGAATCCTAAACTTTCATATTAGTGATTTTTCATATCAATATTAAGACATAATTTTGGTATAATATTTTTTAATATTTTGTATAATATACAATATTATATTATATACAAAATTTGTATAATATAAGACACAGTTTTGTATAATATACAAAGAATACTATAAGAATTTTAGTGTGTATGGTGTTTTTAGTAGTAGATATTTAAAAAGATTAAAACGATAAAGACAATATTAAGGAACACAGCAGATATGGATCAAAAGTAATTTATGAGAAAGAAAAAGAATACTAATATAATTTATTGAAGAAAATTATTAATAAGTGAAAGATTGATAAAGTTTTAAGTGTTTGTTTAAAAATCTAGGTCTATGATTATGGTAATTAAGTTAAGACCCAAGATTTAAATTTTGCATTATTGAAACCTGAGTACATAGTCATTATATAAGTATTATATCTAAAAATTTTTGTAACTTTTATGTTTTTGAAAAATATTCAAAATGATGGGCTGTTTATAACAGCATATTAAGGATGCATTTATTAGATGCTGAGTCAGATAATAGTTTAATAAACATTTTTGAAAACTAATTAACTTTATTGAGTCAAATACTGGTTTTGAATATTGTATTAAAGGAGTAGAAGAATTTTGAGATATTTCAATTATAAATGTCTTTAATTTTATTTACTATAATTTTGTTATAATAAATATATTTTTAAACAATGATCAATTATTTTATTAAAATTATACTTAAATATGGTTTTATAAACTTACTTGATAGCAGCTTCTAGAAGGAATAATCCTGTCAACATATGTTTTTCTACAAAGCAGATTTTTCTATTATTATTTATATTTGAAAATTTTATTTTAAAATGATTTACTTCTTTCTTTGATAAAAAAGTATTTAAAGTTCTATGAATAGTCTGAATACCCATTATGATCAATGGAATGAATACAGATATTGGAATAGGATATGATAAATGATTGTATCTGAAAACAGAAATGAAAAATTTGATAAATACTCAACATTAATTGCAAAAATAGTCATTTAATTTATTAAATTAAAATTCTTAACAACCTTAAAATTAATTACTGTATATCTACATACAATTCAAACTCTCTAATGTCTAATTTGCTTAATTAAAACAATTGTAATCTGGTAAATTTCAACAATTTTGGAATTAAAATGCATTCTTTAAATTCTGAAGTCTTACTACACCATTTATAAAATACATAAAATATATAGTGTACTAAAAGCAAGCTAATATGACATTAATTTAAGATTCTGAAAATTGGAAGATACTAGGAACAAAATAATACCTAAAGTTTCAGTTCTTGATTTTATTGATAATTTTATTTCAACAATACTACCATCTACTTTGTGAAGACAGAAATTAATAATAAAAGTGAAAAGACAAACTTAGAAATTTTGAAACAAATAAAGTAAGCTCTAACATACAATTTTAATTTTAAGATTCAATTAGATATGTTTTAAAATAATGAAAAACTGTAATCAGTTAGCATTCTATATAAGTGCAGATTAGCTGTTTTTTTTATTTTTGCCATTAATTTCATTCATCAGTTCTATGACAAGTATTTGGATTATAATTAAAAACACTAAACATATAAATCAGCAGATTTTTATAAAAAGTGCAAACATTTTTGCCCATATTGAACAGGCATCATCAGGCAAGCTAATCCCCCAAAGCTGAAACAAACAGGGAATTGCCAAACACGTGTGCAAAGGGGAGGTGACAAATGGCAAGAGAAAGGGGAGGATGAGAGGACAGTAAGGTTTATAGTTCAAAGAGAGACTTCCAAGCTGTCCAAGAAGGAGTCAACATTACAAAAATTAATAGTGATGTTATTGCAAGTGGCCTTATGTATTTCCACCTGCTCAAGATGTTTGAGAAAGGGTTGTCTGGAAGAGCTATGAAAGAGGCATGCTTTGCAGAATTCCACATCAGGGTTGCTCATGTCATGACATGACATTGTCAGGGTTAGAGGCATAGATAGCAAACACCATGTTGGCCAATCCTTTTGTCATGGATGTCTGATGTACTTTGAGGCAGATGTTTAAGTAGCACCTATGTATTCTAAGTGGTGGCTGGATCTATGATCGATGACAGGGAGTGTAGATGCCTGGTTGAAGGTGCATGTCTGGATGGTCCTTAGCATTGTGGAGGAGGGAGGAAATTGAGAGACTATGGAATGCTAAACAAAAGTTAATTCTCCTGGATATTTTCTTGTAAAGGGTGGATAGCTTTCTATTGTAAGTGATGGCCCTATAACCTGTGTCCTAGATGCAATTTATCTGCGAGGCAGAAGTGGAGGAGGAAAGACAATTTATAACACCTTTAATGGTGTATAGGGAGTAGCCATACTGAGTTGCATATTGGGTGATCATAAGAAGGAACTCTTTATCTCTATCATGTGTGTTCAATTTGGATTATAGTTGTTACAGAATAACAAGAATTCAAATACTGATCTTAGAGCTGTCTTTGCTCTGTTATAATAAAAAAAAAAAAATTATTAAACTATTGTAATCTTACAAATTTAATATCAAAAATGTTAGTGACTATTTGATATTAATTCACAATTAATTAAGAATTACTGTGTTCTAGACTCATTCAGAATATGATCTAATTTAAATATCTATAAAGTAGAAAGAAAATTGGATTTGACAAAACTTTCAGAAGAATTAACATATAAGAAAACAAGAAACTGTTATTGTATAGTAAAATAAACAATAAAATGCAACCTTTAAAAAGAATCATTTTTCTATTTAAAACAAATGTAAATAATTTGTTTTTATCTGAGTGACGTATTTAAAGATAAGGAGTGCAGTAAAAAATATTGTTTGCATGGAAAGGCAAAAAGTCTAAAGCTAGACCTGATTTTAATTATTATAATTAGTTAAAATGATATTAATACATAATTTTAATAATTATATTTTATTGCACAAATATAGTTTTTTCATTTAATTTCTATATTTTTCTCATTTCTATAATATTCTGGAATGAAACAAGTAAATTTTAATCAAACTATTTAGTTTCAATTGATAATATTCAAATAAATTGAAAAAATTAGAAAATTTTTTTGACAAAATTATATGGTGTTTGGCTAATATTTTTTCATTTACATAAATTTAAAAAAGTTAAAAAGCACCATAGCAATGAGTTTTATCAATAGCACTAATTTTTGTTTTTTACATTACTACATTAATGTCTTCTGTATGTCCTGAAATTTCATCTTATCTAATTTGGTTGTAATTTGGACAGTTAAATATTTCTCTACACAGCATTTAATAATAGTACAGTAATTCCTCCATTTATACAAGTAATTAGTTTTATGAAAACAGCACATAAATAAAAACTATGTAAACAGAGCAATGGAAAGATGTTTAATTAAAATAGGGATCTCTTTCATAATCTCAAATACAATATTTTACTCATACTGGGATAGAAAACTTAACTAAAATGTATAAATAAATTTTACATATACATATAAGAGATTACTGATAACAAAAAACACATTTTTGGTGTAACAATCATTTATTTCCATAAAGCTGTTATTTAAAACTTAAAAAATGTTTAACCACATTAAAATGAATGTGGCTGAATGTTAGTTAACACTGTACCACAGGGGTGGCCAAAACTTGGCGCATTGGACGACTACAAGTGGCGCTTCAGTCAGTTTTGAGCAACATTGCCAGATTTGGCTTCTTTGCAATTATGAATATGTATTACATAGAAAATTAATTTTTTATAGTCTGTCTTTGTAGGTTTATTTGTTGCACAATTCGTTGCAATCAACTTTACAGATAAAATGAGTGTTCTCCACATAGTAAATTACAGTGTATGCATGTTTATTTTCAATCAGTTTACAGGTGTCTAAATGACAGTGCTAACGTCCGGACAGTCCGGGAATCGGATTGGACTACTAACTTCTTTTCCTGAGTAGTTACTGCGACACCTGTTGACCTTTTTTTTTTGTTATTCTTTTGCCTGTACGATACACGATACATTCGTGTTCATGTACACCACTAATATTGTATAGAACTATTTTATACGGGTAACTACACTACAACCGCAATTTTCATTGCTTGTTCTGTGGCAAAACTGAATTTTCATCTTATAAATTGAAATACTTAATTAAGGGGTTGGCGAAACTTTTCTCCGCCCCGGGCGGCTAACACCCACGATACAACACTGCGCATCTGAACTCGTCTATCAAAAAATTGGCACATGGTATGCAAGAGGTTGGCCACCCCTGCTGTACCATATCCATTTCTTGTGGGGTCTTGATTGAAAACTATGTTTATGGAGAGATTACTATACTTTAATTATGATCACCTAGTACTGATTATTCATTTATTCATTTTCAGTGAATCTTTTTATACAGAATATGATCTAATTTAAATATCTATAAAGTAGAAAGAAAATTGGATTTGACAAAACTTTCAGAAGAATTAACATATAAGAAAACAAGAAACTAATGAATTTATAAATATATATATATGAAATTTTTCATTTAAAACATTGCAATATCTTTAAACTATTAACAGAACTATTTTAACTTTTTATCATAAAATCAATAATTAATACTCTAAAGTATTCCATAGAATTAAAAATATCTTACCGCAATAAATTAGTCAATATTTTAGATCCTGCAATATTTATACTAATATGATGAAATTTCAATGCTTTACTAATAACCTCTAGCATAAGTTTAAATGATGAATTATTTGGCATGAAGTTTAATGATATTGTTTGCCTAAATAAAATATTCTTGTATTAATATTTTTTAGTTATATACTTCTTAAACCAATATATATGTGTATATATATATTTACAAATAGTTAAACATACTTATCTAATATTGATGAAGTCAGATTTAAACCAATTGTGGAAAGTCTCCAATTTTTTAATTCTAACATTTGTTTGATATTTTGCAAAATTGAATCTATACCTAAAATATTTAATTAAAAAAAACTTAGAAAATAATATGATAATTACCTAATTGCATATTTTCAAAATTTGCTTTAAAAATAATAATGCAGCAGACGTCCAGTAACACAAATTTTAATGAAAACAAATGTTTTTGACCATACCCATGGTTTGCATCAGGTTTTTAACCATCAAAATTCCAAAAATAGAATGCGTAGAACGAACATATTTGAAAAATTGGAACAACACCAAACATATCTATACTGATATAAAGAGGTAATGTTTGTATGCATGTAAGTTTGTTTGCAGCAGGTAATCTCCGAAACTACTCATCCGATTTCAAAAATTCTTTCACCAATATTTAGAATGGAACCTCAGGGTGGACATCGGCTGAATATTATTCCGTTTAACATTCATATAAATTAAAATATATAATCTAAGTTAAGGCTTTTATTTCCAACAGATGGCGCTACGAGTACGACGCCCTAAGTTTGCTTTTCTGTCAGGCATTACACTTTTCTGTGAAAATGAACTAAAGCAGATCATCATCTATCTATCTATATAAATAAAAATGTAATGTTCGTTTGTTCCTACCGATTCCTTTGAAATTTTGACACAACGCTGCATTCGAATGCGCACATGTTTTTATATCATATACATGTCGAAATTTCCCGCACTGGGGGGGAGATGGACAGGATTAAGGCTTACAGTAAAGAACTCTGCTTCTATTTATACTATTTCAGATGCGGATTTTTGCGTTTTTGATTGCGTTTTGATAGGGTACGTCAACAGAATGTATACTAAGAAGAAATTTTTCGAAACATTTTTCCTTCAGGGGGAAGTGTTATACATTTATAATAGATACATTTTGAGCCACAACAACGCGTGGAGGGGTCTGCTAGTATAAAACAATTTGAATGGTAGACATTACAAAAATAATAAAAAATATAACTACCCCATATACAATAATTTTTTAAGAGGTAAATAATGTTTGTTTTTATTAAAATTTGTGTTACTGGACTTTAAAGGTTCTTAATTGTGTGTGATTTATTTCAATAATTTCAGTAAGAAGATAGTTTAATGCAGTAGAATCCACTTATTGTAAACACTTTAGGTAGATAGATCATACTGTAACATTTACAATGCAACTGGATACATTTCAGAATCAATGAAAATGAGCATTTTCTGAGTAAATTATGATAAATTAATTTTTTTCTAAAAGAATTGCTGTATATGAAATTTTGTCTCAAAATGTGATACATATATCATATATTCCATTCTTTGTTACAAGAAAGTCAATTTGAAAGTTCTTGTTAATCTAAGTCAGGGCTTCTTAAACTTTTTTTATTCACGACCCCATTTATGATTGTGATTTTTTTCGCGACCCAAAAAGAAATAAAAAATAAAGATATACAGTATACAAATTTGCAAAAACAATAATGGTATACTACCACAGTTCACTCTTGTGTTACAATGGAGCAGTGACAACTGAATACACTGAAAAGCGACAATACTACACTAGTTCACACTACAATCAGTGTTGCTGAATCGTTCTCTCGCTGCACCAGAAGTGACACAAAGCGTGCCATTTTCAAACTCTCACAAATTATTTTCAATATTTTGCATTAAAATCGCGCGACCCCAAGATTTTGCTAAGCGACCCCAAATGGGGTCACGACCCATAGTTTAAGAAGCCCTGATCTAAGTCATATTCTCTAGGTCAGGAGTCTGCAACCTTTCAGCGGTGTTGTGCCGAACCTAAGTTATAATGTTATTCTGAGTGCTGACATGATTCTACCAATTTTGTTATATATACAGTGGTGCTTCGTATAACATACGCCTTGAATAACAGATGCTGCGAACAATGGACTTTCCATTCGGCAGTTACGTGAAGCAAACAATGGACTTTCTGCGAACAAGTGCGAATGATGTTTCCACTCTTTTGTTGTTGCCAATGACAATCTGCTATTTTTATAACATATTAGTATTATTAGAATATATTATTAGTATATCTGAAGTACAGAGCTCCCGTTGGGATTTGGCTTGCTCCCTTGTTTATTACATACATCACCTCAGTGCAGGGTATTTACATTTATTCAAGTGGTGCAAATAATGGCTTCTAAAAAAAACAAAGGTGATTTCAATTTTAATAAAGCAAGAAATCATCAGAAGGAGTGAAAGTTGACACGGACTTCCTTGTCAAATGGGGAGAGGTTCAGGAGTTTACAAACACTCACTATCCAAACACAGCTGAGGCCAACAGGATCAATGATCTCTACAATGACACCCTTGCCCATCATTTCCGACAGGTGTTGAAGAAGAGAGAGAAACAGCCCATCTTGGACATGTTTTTCAAGAAGCCAGCTGCCAAAAAACAAAAGATGGAACAAGAGGAGTTGACCCTGCAAGCCCTGGTAGCCTCTCCTGAATCTAAAAAACAATAAAAAGGGACCTGCTGCAATGTGTAAAAAGTCTGTATCTATATGAATGTGTGAAGAAAGTGTTCCTCCACGTCCTCCTCACATCTGACTACCTGGCATAATTGGTGACTACTCCATTTTCATTTTTTTTTTATGGTACAGTATGGTTATTTTATGCTGTGGAACAAATTATATGTTTTGTTAAATTTCTCTCCTGTCATTACCTATGTGTGTAGCAATGATTTGTGTTATATAAACTTTTGTATTTGTATTGTGTAGTAACGCTTCATATCATATAACCATTGTATTATTTTTTATAATAAATAAACGGCCATGACATGTGTCTTTTATCAAGCCCGCCACTTTTTGGTTCGGTATGACTTGAAATGGATCAAAGTAGTCGTGTATGATTTTTTAAACTTACTTGTAAGGTATCCTACTCACTATCTGTGAACACATAACTTGCAACAGTGATATATTCAACATGTTTTAACATGTATTTCTATGGGAAAACGCGTTTTGTATAACAGACTTTTCACTTAACGGACATGCACCTGAAACAGATTAAGTATGTTATATGAAGCACCACTGTATTATAGTATCAAAATTGGTCTGATTATTTTGGACTTCAAAAATATATAATTTTGAAGTTAAGTTTGAAGTGAAGTTAAGTTGTTAATTGAATTATGTCCTTACATATGAGGTGCATGCACAACACATAGATGGCAACACAGAGCGTAAACGCATTCAATGTAATATAAATATACAAGCAAGAGATTGTTTTTAATGTACTACAGTCTATGCTGAATTATGGTTTCCACTTAAATGTGCAATTAATAATTAAATATAACTTTTATTACATTTCTATTCAATCAGATTGCCACTGGAAATTAGTAACCTATGGCATGCGTGCCATAGATTGCAGACTCCTTCTCTAGTCTATTGGCTATAAGGAATTATTAATTTTTGTACTTTTATTCTGGATAAATAAGTATTATATAAAAAGTTGATTATTATATATGAAACAACATATTGTTATTCTGTATTCTACTGCATTGTGACAATGTCACAATAAAATAATTGCTTGTATATTTCAGAAATTTCTTTGTTATAAAGTCAAGATTTAAGTTTATGTAATCTAGAATAAAAAGGCAAAAACATATAGTATATACAATTTTCATAAATAAGAATTATTAAATGTTTCTAATGTTAAATTATGTACTCTCTTTTAAATTTTACATTAAATAATTTTTACTTCTTATGTAAATATTTTTCTGTTTATTTTTAAATACTAGATGAAGGAAAGTAAAATTCAGACTTTAAGCATGTAATTATTAAGATGTTATTTCAGTAAACATTGCTGTAATTATTGAATTTTTATTTACTGGTACTCAGTTATCATCATTTGAATATTATCTTCATTTCAATACCACAATATAAAAAAGATTACCATAAACAGAAGTTACTGATTTGAAAAATCTCTCTAGCAATCTATTGAATCTTTTAAAGGACAAAGGAAGATTTCAGATAGAGTATCATAATTGCTAAGAACTTGACATTGAAAATCATTTTCAAGGTCAAGTTCTTAGCAATTATGATTGTCACTTATGTTGTAACTTTTTAATGAGCAAATATAGAAATTTCAATTATAAAGTTAAAGATTAGCAAAGTTAAACATTTAATTGGCTTAAAACTATTTCCTGTGTCACAAATGAAATCACTTTTACTCCCATGACTTTAAAGTTACAAATTATGCAGTCCTACATGTATTTATTTTAATCTTTTACAATATTGTCAATATCTGCTTTCTGCTTTTATAGTTCTAGTCTTAATTCTAAAAATGTTAGTTAAATGGGAATTACAGAGCCTATTTCTTTCAGCAGTTTTGATGCACAAAAAGAACTGTTCATAACAGTATGTATGCCTGTGATACAGGTTTATAGTATCAATTACGGCATTACAACATCAAAGTGTATCCAATTTATGACATACTTTATCAAAATAAATGAAAATGTTCAATTTAGGGTTCAGCGGGCTGCATAAATATATTAAATGGGCTGCAGGTTGGACATCCCTGGTTTAGACTAATTAAATAGTGATTTTTAATTTTGTCATTGGAACTTTTATGTAATTATTAATCACTAAAAAATTACAACATAAGTGACCTTGAAAATGATTTTTAAGATCAACAAAAAAAAAAAGTCTCATCTAATTCTCCATACATGATTTCCTATGTAATTATATTAACAAAATTAATATATCTTCAGTACTTTTGGAATGAAAAGGGTTCAAGGGACTTATGATTCACCCTGTATATTGTATATTTTTATTGTTTCATGCTGATTTTGGAATCTAAGATAATCTTATTTCTTTAAAACAAATTTCAGAAAGGTTCTTTTTGAAGATTTATTTTGATAGTAAGAAATACTAATACATTAAAACTTTGATAAACAATTGTAAAGATAAATTATATTTTACATAGCTAGAAAGTTTAGGAATTATTAAAATAGTTCAATGCTCTTAAATATAATACAGTAGAATCTAATTAACTTGAATCAGTTGAGGAAAAGAATTTGACTTTGAATTAAAAAATTTAAAGTCAAATTTTTTAAAAAGGTTTTGAGGAATCAAGTTAACCAGTTTGATTTAACGTGTTATGCTAAATGATTGGGAAAAGAAAATGACTTCAAGTAAATGCAACTTTGAGTTATCTAGGTTCAAGTTAACCAGGTTCTACTGTATTTCAAGTTTTATTATGTACATTTATTTTTGTATTTAGTATTTTAATCCATTAAAATGCAATTATAGGCAAAGAAATAACTTCATAATACATACCATAGATTGCATGACAACTCTTAAAAAATTCATCATATCTAATAAAAAGAGAAATGCAACACAGAAGAGACCTATTTATTTCAAAAAAACAATGATTTTTAAAATACTTTCCATATAAAAGTTATATATGTGTATATATTATATATAAATTACTAAATAAATATATGGAATAATATAATTAAATGTTTTATTTTTATCACTGATTGGAATAGGAGCTAATGAACTGACTACAGTAACATTTGGAATATAGTTTTTCCAGAAAATAGACAATTTTATGAAAAAATGAGCTTCATTTAAGAAAATGACATTATATAATAGAAAATGCTTCTTCTACACATAGTTTAGAAGTTGGGATAAAAGAAAGACTAGGAGATAAAATGATAATTTTAATTGCTAGTTGTTTAGTTGCTAAACTTCTAAATAGCTACATTTGCATTGTTATCACTTTAATAAGAACATTTTATGATTTGGCATATCTTATATACACATAATTTTGTAATGGCTATTACTAGAGTAAAGCTGTCATTTACATCACATTTGCATCAAGTATTACATCATCAAACTTTTCATTGCTAGTGCTTCCCTTGTAATTTTACACAATTCCTGAGACTCCTGGAGCATTTAGACTTAACTACGTTCAATAATACTGAAGTTTTAGAACCTAGTAGCAAGAAATATTATGTGGCATATTCAAAGTCATACCATGAGTAAATATATTGTACTACATGTTAGTCTTTTATTCTGTAACATGCAGCTTGATGTTCACACAACACCCTTGTAGAAAAGCTTTTCAATTGATGTTCCCACCATTTAAAATCATAAATAAATTTAGATGCAAGAAACAAATTTTATTTATTAAATGTATTAAATATTTAAAGATAAAATATAATTGATTATAATTAAGTTTTTAAATAATAATGAATTTTTCAGAAAATTTACTTGTCAGATTATAATGATTTGTGATGACTAGGAGAAAAATAAACTATTGGTGAATACGTCATCAAAGACTTACTCTCCCTTCCCATCATCAGAAAAACTTATTTTTCTTCTGTTCCTCTATTTATATGGAGGTTTTAACCTGATGGTTTCTTTCTCCAATCTAGCTATTGAAACTGACCTATGCAGTGGATTTAGGTCTTCTGTGCCTCAATATGGTAACAAGGAGGATAATATAGTAATGACAGTGGGATTAATGGCATCAGGCTGAGATAGGCCAGGTCTGAACATTCCTGTTGATATTGTGCACTGGCAAACAAATAATGCAGTGTAGAATGTAATAAGTAAAGTGTCTTTTCAGTGTAGACAGGCTGGAGAGAATCCTGGAGTAAAAGAAGGTGTTAAGTGGGGCTGTCTCCATCCGAAGATAGCACAGAATAGTCTCCCACTGTGCATCATGCAGTGTCTATACATCCAGTGATGGAAGGGAAGAGATGGTCTTGGCCTTTCCCCTATACATGGATAGCCATGCCTCTGTCATATGATGCCTGAAATGCTGGTAGATAGACCAGATCTTGTGGGAAATTTGTTCACTAAATCATATCCAATATCACCCCAACCAGGCCACGTTATTAGCCTCCTTGTTGAATGGAATGTCCAAATGATCAAGCGTCCAAAATATGATGATTGGGGTTGGAAAGTACCCAATGAAGGCACCCAAATTAATCACAAGAGAGGATGAAGATAAATATACATAAGCAAGTGCCATTAAGACAGAGTGGCTATTGGTAATTATCAACAGCTGCATCCATTTAGCTCAGGGGTGTCCAACCCATGGCCTGTGGGCCACATGTGGCCCAAGGCAAGTTCCAATGCGGCCCAATAAACTTGTAAACAAAACCGACAAATTTTTTAATTTAATTTTATTTATTTATTTCAATGGCATAAACTAAAAAAAAGTTCCACAAAGCTGTAAACCTATATATATATTTTATTTTTGAGTGGAAAGGAAATATTTCCAAATACCTGGAAATGTATGAATGAGGAAGGAATACTAAATAACGCTAAAGTTGAGACTCAAAGAATTATAGACCCAAATTCGGGGAAAGGAGAGAAAGACCAAAAGATAAAAAGTAGTAAATAGACTTTCTGTTATGCAAATATCGACCCTTAATTTTTTAAATTTTCTCACTTTATCTTTTGTCCTTTCTCTCCTTTCCCCGAATTTGGGTCTGTAATCCTTTGGGTCCCATCCCAACTCCAGCTTTATTTAGTATTCTTTCTAGAGTTGCATGATTTGGTTACTTTGCGCCAAAGTTAGCTGCCCTTTTTTTTTAGTTTGACATAAAAAATATCATTTGGCGCATTGGCCAATTTTTGGGCTACATATTATTTATAAATATATTAGTTGAAAATGGTGTTTTGTCATTTTTTATTAATTAGAGACCCAAATAAAACAAAATATTTGTGTTTTTCAAATAAATTTTTGTTTGTCTCCTTTATAATAAATGAATTTATCTATTTCTAAGTAAAAATTGAAAGTGTCTGTAAAAGTAAATTTTTAAAATATCCTTTTTTGTGATAAAAATTTAATACTTATTACTATAATCTAGGCATGTTAATCCTTAAATATACAAGCATATTTAAGGATTAGGCCACAAGTATATATAATATACTTGTGACTCAAAACTCCATGACATCTTCCAATGTGGCCCAGAGAAACAAAAAGGTTGGACACTCCTGATTTAGCTGGAGGTTCATCGTGTTCCCAAGGCTTCCGTTGTATAAACATTATAGTGGAGGGTTTATCTTCATTGCCTTGAGCTAGGAGTTGGATGGAATGACTACACCTAGTGACATTTGTATCAGTGATATCATGACTCATGAATATTAATTTGTCCATGCAGATCTGGTCCTCCACTTGGAACTGGGATGGTGGTAGAAGTGTTAGATGAGTATGCTCACTGAATTAATGTTTCCAAGGAAATGTTAGAGTCCAAGTGACGAATGGCTGTTGATATTGCCACTAGCAGTAGAAAGATAGATATGCACTGCCATGATCAAAGATGCCAATAGGCTGAAAGCCCCTCAAGACAAGTGAATGAGACTCAGTGGAGGCAGCAGAGTTGGAGCCAATCATGGAAAAGAAGCAACCCTACTTCTGTGTATAATAAAATTTTAGAAACCATCTGAAAGACCCAGTGCAATTGTCAAAGTAGAATTTAAGATGGGTGTGCTGAAATTCAAAGTTCTGAGAGAGCCCTCTCCAAGAGTGGGATCAAAAATCCATGGTAGGGCAAAGGACAGTATACAATTAGGAGAGTATATCCTCACCCTGGCACCATTGCAGAGGAATGTGAAGCATTTTAAGAAGCCCCCAAGTAAGTTTGATAAAGAGAAAAGTTACATGAGAAGACCATATGAAAGCCTCATTGAAATAGAGAACAAGTATGCAAAGAGTAGTGACTGTGGGATGCCAGTAATTAGTGTTAATGATTGATGAAGAGAGAAATCTATGTGGGTGTTTTTCTGCACAAAATTTCCAGGCTCCATTGGAAAGCCCAGAGTTCTAGCCAATTCTAAAGTTCTTTGAGCATTATCAGCATGGTAGATAGAATGAACTAGAGATAAAGGGATAGAAATCATCTATACAAAATATGCTGGACATGAAGCAACCAATCCAAAGATTTGTCATGTAACAAGTGAGTAACAGTGGCACAAGGACATTGCTTTGTAGGATGCCATGTGAATGGCTGAGGCTTGAAAGTGCTACTGTATCATAGGACCTGAAAGGTGTGATCTATTACAAAGCCAGTGAGCCAGAATAGGGCACAGCTCTTCAGACCCAAGAAAGCAAGTTTTCATAACAGGCCAAGTAAAGATCACAAAGTTTGATCTACTCTGATTGAATGATCTTTCCTTCCTCCCTTTCCAGTAGAATGTGTCCATGTTCTTCCGAAAGTCACCTAATGGCCTTTCTTTGGGACCAGTTTCCTTTACTTGGAGATGGGCCAGTATGACGGGAGAGTCCATAGAGTTCGCCAACTCTGGATGCCGGTCCCAGTCTGGAGGTAATCTTGCACACAGCACATTCCAGGGGAGCTCTAGTGATCTTCCAACTTGGTCAAGAGACTCCAAAAATTATCCGGGGTCTTTGTCCCTTTGCTTTTAAGGGGATCATCTGGCCCAACAACAGTCCAATTTGGAACAAGGTCAGTAGCTTGCATTCAGGTCGCCTTCAGATGGGATCCCAGTACAATATGTTCCACCATGCTGAACCCCTTCTGGAAAAACCAAACTGCTCAAGCATTGTTTACAAAATTGTTTACAGTTAGTTACTAACTGTTAGGCCTGCACAATAAGCCGTGTTGGAACACTCAGTCATAGGCAGAGACGTCTTACCAGAATTATAGACCCCCTGGCAAAGCAGTGCACTGGGCCTCCCTATTCCTGATTGTGCTTTGTGGCATCAGGCTATGTACTTTGTACATTTTAATAAAAATCTGAATCTGAATCTGGGCCTCCCTATGTAACTGGCAGGTAAGTGGAAAGTTAGTGTTAAATTCTAGTCTGTACATGGGGACCTGGACAATGCCCTGCATGCCCATACATTAAGATGGCACTGGTCATAATGGTTTTATTTTTGCCCTTCTTGATCTAAGGCCAAAAATTAGATTCATTGTTACCTGGTCCTGGCCATCACAATATGGTGATAAATTGTGATCAGTGCTTCAATCATCCTTGACTGAGAAGAAATCTGATGTATGTGAAATGAAAAGGACAATTAGTTTAAAAGGCTTGTAGTCATCTGCAGCATGACACTCTCAAATGCCTTTGCAAGAGCTATGTGGAAGATTGGTCTGAAGATGGTGCACTGGTTGGGGTTTCTTTGGGCTTTCAGACCAGGACAACTACTGCTGTTTTCCATATTTCTGGGACTTACTCAACTTTCAAATTGTGTTGAAAAGCTGGAGCAGCACTTCAAACACCTTTCCCAGAGGATAAGTGTTTGAAGTACTGATTCCTTATCTGGTCCACAGAAGTTTTGCCATAAGGATTAAAATACCACCTGGAGGTTGGAAAGGTGAAAAGAGCCATTATCACAACCACTGGTATCAGTTGCAGTGTGAAGCTGCTGAGTAGCTACAAGCAGCCAAAATGTACAGTGGGTTCCCATGCTTACTTCAAGGGATTTGCCCTTGGACCAAAGGGAACTCCATTTATCTGGGTTCCATGTCAAAAAAATGGAAGACATGGTGGCAGTCAGAGACTAGGATGCAGGTGACATAATAGTGACAGAAGATGCAGAAGAAGGTGGATACAGGAGGAGGGGAAGAATAGAAATGGCCTCGACAAGCCAATGACTGTGCAAGCACCTTGCATTGCCTTAATGTAGACCAGAGATGGACAACCCATGGCCCACAGTAATATATTTTGCAGCCAACATCGTATAAAATACAAATAAATATATCAATTTCCCAGCTTAAGGAAGTGTGCAGCAAGAATTCAAATGTTATTTTCTACAACTTATGTTTGTGAATAGTTTTCCCAAATGAATTTAGTAAAAATTAAAACAAGAAACTGGCTAACAGACACATCGAAACTAATTTAAAAAACAAGCAGTGACTAATATTTAAAATAAGTAAGGCAAAACATTTTACACTTTGTTTCTAGCAGTTTAATCACTAAGTACAAATGTTTTAATTAGTTGTTAGAAAATTAGATAGCCAAGTCCTAGAATCCTTCAACACAGAAATCATTCTTTACACGTGTTATGTTGATGATATTCTTATTATTTGGAGATCCAAGCCAGATATAAACAGAGTACTGCAGATTGCGAATAACAATCCATTTGGGCTCAAGTTAAAGTTAGACCAACAGGATGATAAGATGGCCCATTTCCTTGACCTCAATATATTCCTGAATCATGGTTGTATAGCCACAAAGGTATTCCATAAGCCTAATCTTCAATCTTTCTTCATCCCCTCAACCTCGAATGACCCGTTTACTTATAAAATATCTGCTTTCAGGGCTCTAATCTATAGAGCTTTTACTCATTGCTCTAGCATTAAAGACGCGCTACAAGAAATCCAACACATCAAACACATCGCCTTAGCCCACGGTTACATCGGTAAATTAATAGATAGGCTTGCTCAAAAAATATAGTTGCTTAGAAACCAAAGCGATTAATTCCAGACCTCTATAACAGAAGGGTAAGTGCATTGTAGTTGATTTTGACCCTAGAATGAGACAAGCATTTAAAATCATAATCAAGAAGGTCAAAGCTGCTCTTACATACAAATGCAACCCTACAATATATAAACTTCTGGCTAATACGAAGGACAAATGCAGTGAAGCCAGAAGACCAGGGATTTACTTGGTCCTGCTAGGGGACAACAGATTTAATCCAAACAAAAAATTAACATACATTGGCTCAACTAACAGACCACTTACAAAAAGAATAGCTGAGCACAAATATGACACATACAACAAAAAGTTTAATTCCACCCTAGCCCAATTTGCAAGTGAACCAAATATAACAGCCAAATGGAAAGAGGCTAAGATTATTATACCTATGCTTGACAATAACAAACTTAGAACAATTGAAACAATTGAAATCTTTGTGAAATTCCTCAAGGGGAATTGTATCAACAGCAGAGATGCAGACACACTCTCCTCGCATGGCAATCAGTCTTTGATAACCCCTTAAACTAAATAAGACAATCCACCCTCATTGAGCCTGTTGCAATCTTTAGAGCATTTTCTTTACTTATCTTGTTTTTTATTTTCCAATTTTATTTTCCAATTTTAGCAATTATCTCATCAATAGTCGTTCGCACACCTTGGATAATAATATAAAAAGAAAATTAACAATGTCAATATTGTCTAAACTTTGTTATGCAGCAATGATGTCACTAGTAAGAAGAAATCTTTGTAAACAGTGATGTCATTTGAATATCTGCTAACCGACATTCTAAACGACATTCTAACCGACCTTATTGTACCTGAAGAAAGCCATTCAAAATGGCCAAAAACGTTTGTACTTATTGACTAAACTGCTAGAAACAAAGTGTGAAAGGTTTTGTCTTACTTATTTTAAATAGTTCTAGTTTTGAATGCATAGAAGTTACTAATATTTAACAAAATATTTCTGATATATTACGTTTACATCAGTTCCAGAAGCTAAATTAAGTATACCTCTGCTAATTTATAATTATATATGAATAAAAATTCCCTCAACATTTTTTCCCTCTTTTCTCTTGTATGTGGCCCGTGTCAGTTCAAAAGTTTTCAAATGCAGCCCTTACATAGAAAAAGGTTGCCCATCTCTGATGTAGACTATGAATTCTACACATGTATGATAGGGGCTTGATTTGGACCCCCAAAATGGGCCAAGAATTATAGAGTATCTACTCCAATCAGTGATCTGATGACCTAAGCAGGGCCCACTTGTTTCTGACAGGAGAATATAAGAGGAGGAGCAGATTGGGGCATGATAACTTGAAAACATCTCTTTTCACTGCCCATGATATAGATTCTAAAAGGTCCAGAGTACACAGACCTCCACAGTGGAAGTGCCACTGGGCCAGAACAATAGGGACTCTTTGTAATTGAGTGAATACAGGTCAGAAGATGTGATCCACTGAAAGAGAGCTCATCTGGCACAGTCAGGACAAGAGAAGAGCAACCTGAATCCCACAGGGTTAATGGGCATTCCAATCACCCTCCACAAAGGGATGGTCTAAGTAGCTGAGGATGACAGTGGTCTAAGTGACATGAGAAGTATAAACATTTAGGATGGTGTAAGTAGAATTTTGGCCATGGGGCTTTATTCCCAAGCATTGAAGCTCAGGGTCTATGATGGGGATCTCCTCCTGAGATGCTGGGCAAGCACTGGACACAGCAGTTAGGACACTCATGCCTCAGCTATCCAGCTGATTCTGCTGAAATATGGTGTATCCCACCAGTGTGAAATAGACATCCATAGTGAATCTCCTGAATTCAGAGAATGTCCACAAAGACAAGTCACTTTGCCTACTGAATAGGTCATGTTTGGCTTGTAATTGTCTTGCATTCCAATGTAAAATGCAAAGAAATGTGGCTAGTTGATGAAGTTGATGGCTGTTCGTAAAGTTGCAAACAGCCATTTTCTAGCAAGATATTGTTCAATTGCATACAGCTAAGATTTCCCATGAATGTCTTCCTGGAAACTTATCATTTCCTTAGCCTGTCCAATCTCAAAATTTATCACTCAATGAACAATTGTGAGATCAGATGAAATATCAGCCATCTACAACTTTGAGGGATCTGCAGCAGAAGTTGCAACATTTATTGGCAAATTTGTTGCAGGATAACACATTGTAGCCTCTGACAGTAGCATAACCAGATCTGAAGCCATGGGGAAGTCCAAGTTAAAATTTAATATGAATCACTATACATTTTAATAAAGTTTTGCTTTTAATACTTACATACAGGACTATAACAAACATATATAAATTATGAAGTCAGTCTCCACAATTAAATTATTATTCCTACATTTAGCATTTTTGTTCACTTTTCCATTCTGAAGAGTCCCAGGCTCCCTGGTTATGCTAGTATTGATGCATATATTTATGCAAAGAGAAGGTCTACAAGATACTAAAAGGGTAAAAAGTCCTTTAAACTGTACTGTTGTTCCTCAGGAAAATGTTCCTTTACTATATTGTAATCACTTGCCATCATCATCATGTTCACACAAATAAAGTTTCATTTGATTCCAACATCTTATTCTGTAACTTTTTTTAATCAATGAGTGCAGTAGAATTTATTCAATATCATGTATCAAATGACTGACTCTATGAACATATAGATGTGAAAGAACAATGAACAATTAAAAGAGAAATAAAAGTCCTACCATTACAAAAGAAATGATGTCAATTGTAACAAAGAAGTAATAGAATAATAGTTATGAAATAGGCTGAAGAAGAGTCATAGTTCATAAGGTTTTTTTTTAATAAATTTATAAAATATTAATGAACATAATCAAGTTTGCTTTAAAACTTTTATTGTAATAAAATATAAACAATTTTTATACTTACTCTATCAAAAGTTCATTTTGTGTAGTAAGTGCTTCAAATAAAAATTCTAAATTAAAAATATTAAATAATTTTAATTTAAAAATTAAAAAGTGTATACAGTTTATAAAATATTTTAAATTAATTTTTTATTTGGTTTGTTCACTTTTAAGCATAAAAATCTTTAAAGCAAACATTTTTAATTTCAAAAATAATATTAAATGCATTAAAATCATATTCAATATACTGTATATAGTCTTATAATACTGTATATATAGTATATAACATTTATTTAAACAGTTAAATAAAACAAAATAGTTGAAAAATTTGATTTCATTATTTTAGCACTTTTATTTTCGAAACTTATTTTCAAAGTAAACATTTTATATAATTAGTATGTATGTATATATATTATATACATACTAGTGGTTTACTTAGCCCTAATATAATAAGCATTTTCTTTTTCTTTTCTAAAACTAATTCTTCTAAGGTTGATATACCCATACGTTCATAAAGTTGAATGAGTTAAACTGTTAAACGAACTAACGATTCGATCCTAAATACTAATTGCACTCACTGCACAAGCTTGTGTTGTTGACATTTGCAAGTAAACTCTAACTAGTGATAGCAACTTCGGGGTTTTCCTTTTAACCCTTGTTTCAGTTTTTAGGGTAACTCTTAGTTTTAGGGAAAATTTCGGATATGTATTACGACAGAAGGTTGGCAACTCTCACTCTAACGAAATTCACAAAGGAGAGTTTAAATCGCGAAGAAAATGGCGTCCGGCGATATTGATGTTTCTAAATCTGGTCGAATGTATAAATGGTGAAATGATACAAATAACTGCCCACGTTAAGCAATCTGACAAAAATATTTCGGATAAGAATGTATTGTACTAGCAACATTTCAACTTCGATTTTAGAAACAGCCATTTTGTGGTAAATGAATCTGTCACAATATCCGGCGAAAGAAATAGTAACGATGATGTCATTCTGGTCTAACTCGTTCGACTTTACAAACGTATTCTTCGTTACTTCATTGTTTCTCTCCCCGAATTAAAAAAAAAAGTTTTATACTAAAGCACCATGTTCGGTTAAGATACTAATGTTTAAAATAAAGAAAAATGGATTTTCCACAATTTCTTTTGACAAATTTCAAAATACCACTATTCCGAGGCCAATTAGAAAATTTTTAGATGGTCTAAAAATATGTTCGGTTTCCACAAAAACGAAAACACCGCTTTAAAATAGTACAGTAGAAGCCCAGTTCTTCAGGGTAATACATGACTCTCTCCCTCTCCCCCCGCGGGGGGAGAATTTCCAAAAATCCTTTCTTAGTGTACATTCTCATGACGTACTCTGTGCACCAAATTTCAACTTTCAACTCCTAACCGTTTGGGCTCTGAGCTTATTATTATCTTTATTATTATTATCAACCATCTCGATTATATTACATTTTTAAAACTGTTTTATATAATTTGTTTATAGAATATTGTAAACCTTCCGAGGCGAGGCCTACAGGTCCGAAACACACAAAAAGAATGTACAGATGAAAATAAAGATATTTTGTCTTAGTGGTTTTCTATTTGAAAAAAATTGTAAATTTATAAATTCCCACTGTCGTCCGTCCCTCCGTCTTTCCTTAATCTCGAGAACAGAGTTAGATAGATGAAATCTGAGACCATATCTAGAAACCTTGGGGCAAGAGACCCCGATTAACCGATCGATTCCGATGCAAACCAGAATTCACGTTATTTCATTTCAAAAAATATCCTTTGAAAGGAGTTACATAGATGACCTGTATAACTATTGCTAACGGAAAAATATGATGTACAGTAGAGGGGTCAAGCCACTACTAATTTGAGGTGGAAAGCATATATTTTTAATTAAATTAATTAAAATATAATTAAAAATCGCAGCCCAGCATTGTGACAATGTCAAGAAATAATTGCTAGTGTTTTTGACTAAGTTTTCCTTTTTTTTGCTAATTCGAAACTACACCAGTATAATAAGTTCTATTTATAAACAATGTCTACGTGGATAATATATAAACAAAAATATTTGAGGACATACAGACACAAAGAATTAATAACCTATTTAATTCTGAAAAATAAGCAAAGTTTAAAATGCATAAAAAATTTCTAACTTATGAAGTGAATAACAACTAGAAGAAAAATAAAAAAAAAAATTACTTTAAAAATACAAATGTAAGTTTAATAAAGGAAAAAAATATATAAATAATAATCTTATCTAAAATATTAAAAACATACTAACATTTCCTGTAATACCTAAGCTTTACTGTTTTAATTAAACAATAAATGTTGAAAAACTTTAATATATGCTTTAACTAGCTTTGACAAACCAATTACTGATCTCTAGTAGTAAGTTTGACTATAGAAAGTAATAAATGGAATAAATAAATTATATTGAATACTTAAAACTTTTGTATGTAGTAATTGATTCACTTTTTAAATTAAGAGATTTTTTCTGGTATTAGGTCCTTTACCGCTCAGAGAGCACAAAAAGACCAAATTAAAAGATATTAACAACTAGCAGACCCCGCCACGCCTTGTTGTGGCTCAAAATGTATCTATTATAAATGTATAACACTTCCCCTAGGAAAAAATTTTTCGAAAAATTTCTTCTTACTGTACATTCTGTTGACGTACTCTATTAAAACGCAATCAAAAACGCAAAAACCCGCATATAAAATAGTATAATAGAATCCAAGTTTTTCACAGTAAGCCTTAATCCTGTCCCTCTCTCCCCCCAATAGAGTAATTTCGACATGTATTCGACAGCCTATGTCCACCCTGAGGTTCCATTCTAAATATTGGTGAAAGAATTTTTGAAATCGGATGAGTAGTTTTGGAGATACCTGCTGCATACAAACTAACATACAAACATTACCTCTTTATTATATTAGTATAAAGTAATTTGATTAGAAAACGATGAAATTTCTACCTGGTATATTAGCATCCATTAAAATAATAACGCATTCAGAATTTAAAGATCCTTTTATTAAACGACAGATTAACTGTGTAGCAGACACTTGAATTAATGAATCGTGTGATGATAATAGCTTTTTCAAGGCAAAAGCAAGTATTTCTTTTAAATTTCTTTCAAAAAATAATTGCATCATATCTTCCATCCGTACTATTAAGTGAAGTAAAGCTGAAATTATTTATGTGTTATTTAAATATATAATAACGAAATAAAGTTGTATTTTTTAATTAATAATAATGTATTTTATACTATTAACTATTTAATTATTATAATTATTTTATGGTTTGTTAATTTATTAAATAAGATTATTATACAGAATATATTTCGTATTATTTCAGATTTTTTTTTAATTGAACATACTGTATTTTATATAGATGATGAGGATTTTTTAAATTTAAGTAGCAGAAATTAACCTAGTAGTAAAATACTAACATTTTCTGTAACAATAAGAGAATTAACGGGAATTGAGAATTAAATTATTTAACGAGAGCTTTTAAGCATAGGCCTACAGTATTTTAAAATACGTTTGGACGTTATACTCATACAGTATATTGTTTCTATTGTATCGATTTTCCATCATTAGGGTAAAGTGGAGTAATTTGGATCAGCCCATATCTAAAAAAATTGGCAGCTCATTCACTGTCTGTTATATGTTGATCTGTAGCGAAGACATCTTTAGCACTTCAAAAAGAGAACATAAAAGAATTATAAGTATAGTGGAACAAAGTTTTTATGTTTAGTGAATTTTTACTGTAAGAAAATTGTATTATTTATTGTGAGATATATTATTTATTCTGTAAACAATGATGATTGTCACATTACATGAAAGCATAGATTTTTACTAAATAGTTACATCTATGTCAGAGGTTACTACCATAACCACAACCAAAACAATGCTAATTTCCAACATTTCATTTTAGGGCAAGTACGATCACCGATCAACACTGATTGGAATTACATAGGAGGATCTTGCAGCCGAAGAACTTTGTGATCACAATGAATATGTTGATAACAAACCTGCCATGCGCAATACATATGATATTTGTATCCAATGTGGCGAGGAGTGCACAATGATACACGTTCAAATTAGGCTCATGCAGAATGCGCGGGATTCGAATCAACTGAGAATATCTGCGACTTCTGCAATGATATACATTAAGAGTAAAACGAAGTGACTTTTTTGCAATTTTATTAATTTTGATTAATAAAAAAATACTTTCAACTTTCATTTGTTACAAACAGATGATTGGAATTTCCCACATGTCAGGAGAAATCCGATCAAGTGTATTTGACAAAATGGTTAATTTCAGTGTTCTTAGCTGATATTTCGTAAGCATTTACTGTATATATTTATAGCTTTTGCACTTGTAATAAATAAATTTTCCATTCGCTAACATTTCTCCCTTAATTAAGTGATCGAAATTTCCCCACTTTACCCTACTCATTTTTTTTTAATTTTGAACTTATAAATTCAGTTAACTTTTTCTGACTTTTTAATGTTGAATTTTTATTGTTAAACTAACAATAAATCTTTGAAGTAAATTCAAGTGGCACTATTTCTGTAGTAATGTCGGCTTTGCAATACTAATATTTAAATTTATTTATTTAAATGTTAGCATTATATCTGATCATGCAATAATCTTTTAGATTATTCCTATTATTGTTACCCGATCAATCAAGTAATATAACGCTAATAAAACAATTTGAAATTCATTACTGGTTTAAAATTGCTATTCTACTTCTACGGTGTGAAAAATGAATATGATTACAGTATTTTTATGAAAATTTTAAGTCTATCTAGAATGAGAAATACAGATTATGTTATAAAATTATAAAAGAATTAAATCGAGTCGTTTTAATCGAACAAATTCAGAAAGAAGAATATGTCTACTGTTTATTCAAGAAAAAATAAATTTAGAGAAAACAAGTTATTAACTAAGTTTATTTTTAACAAGTTATTCACTAAATATATTCTGTGCGTTTTGTACAAAACTAATAATTATTCTTATTGTATCTCATATGTGATTATGAGATTTTAAACCATGATAATTGTTTTTGTGTAACACGTACAAAACTGTTAATACTACAAAGTTATTAAAAATGAGTTTATATTTTTAGCATTAACTTTTTATAATTAAATAAACTCTTTTTTCAATGATCTTCAGAAACATTTTTCAATGTAGTAAAATGATTAAATTATTTTATATATTAAATTAAACTTTATACGAAATCTTTAATATAATCAATATTATTTAATTTAAATAATAATTATCAAAAGTTTTAAAATATGGTCTATAAATGTATGATTACTACATTAGTAACCTTACCTAAGGACTTCAATTGTAAATCTCTTGTTTGATGATTTTTCAAGTCAGATAAAATTGTATTTATAACCTGTGTATGAATCATTTTTGTTTTATCAATATGACTGCAATTTGATTTGTATATTTCAATAAAGATTGATACAATAACTATTTTCACTTTATTATTTGGATAATTCAGACCCATAAGTAAAAATTGAAGAAATTGTTCTGGAAAAAAAAATTAATTCGTTGTATAAAAAATTTATCAAATATTTTAAACGTTCTAATTGTATTAAAACAAAACTAATTTTTAAAAACTTCAATAAAACTTTAGAAACGCGTTAACATCTACTGTATATGACAATATCAAATATTTTATACCAGAGACATTGATTAATAATGGAAAGTGGGAGTAATAATTTAAAAATGGAAAAAATATATTGAGTTAAATACAAAAAGATCTTTCATTATAACAAGGAAACTAACCACAGCGTAGTGAAAAGGTAAAACTCGTTATATTCATTTATCCGTTAATAATTTAACTTACGTGTGATCCTGTGATGTAAACATTGGTAATTTCGTGATATTTTTTTAAAATTCATCTTCATCTAATAAGTAATGTAAGATGAGATTTAAAATTATGCTCACAAATAGCGTGGGATATATTAAATTTGAAAATTTTATTTGTTTGAGTACACTGTCATTTTATAACTGATAGCAAAACGATCTCTATTGTAAGAAGAAGAAGAAGAAGAATGGAAATTTGAGAAATGTTGTAGGAGACTAGATTTATCTTAACTTTACAAACAAAATATTGATGGCAAGTGAAGTATTCTTTGATATTTCAATAAGCTAAGAACTGGAGATATATTTAAACACGCGGTTATTACAGTAGAGTCCCGAAAACTCGGCCTAATGTGGACCGAAGGGTGGCCGGGTTTGTGAAAATGCTGGGTTATCGAAAATGGGGTTAAAAAACAATAAGTAAGAGTGTTTCCTCAGAAAATACTGTACTGTACTTGTAGGTATTGTTTGCTCGAGAATACAACAGAGAATAAACTGCCCAAATACCCTTAAACAAAAGTACGTACCTGTACTTTATGAAGGCATAGAGCCTTTACTACATAAAAATGAAAGTTAATGAATACACAGTGTACAGTAATTTACCTGATAAGACAGATTTCAGAAAAATGCTTTATGAGGCATAAAGTTGTCTATAATGAAAATTAACTAGGGGGTTTTTTCGTCCTGCCAGAATGTGGCCGAGTTATCCGAACTGCCGGGTTATCGAGTCCTCGGCACTCTACTGTATTTTATTTTATTATACGTTTAAATTTCCTTAGTTACTTGGACAACATTCTTAGCTTTCGCTGTGAAATTCTAGACATGTCGAACACAAGGACGATTTAATAATTAATTATCGTCGATTAGAGAAGTAAAATAATAGACTAATATGTATAACTTACATATAACGTTAATTGAACATATCTTGAGTATCTGTCATACTTTTTAGGTCCAAAATGAAGTACGACAGAATAGCCAATATATTACGAAATTACTACGTGAGATGCCATCAAAATGTCGTCAATGTAAAAAAGAAAAATTTTTTAAAGTTTCGGGGATAGAAAGTGTTCATTATACGAGCAATTATTTATTGTGACATCGTCACAATGCCGGCTGCAATTTTTAATCATATTTTTAATTAATTTAATTTAAAATATATGTTTCCACCTCAAATTAGTAGTGGCTTGCTCCTGTACATTTCCTGTTAGCAATTGAGCCGTCTATCTAACTCCTTTCAGGGAAAAAATTTCGAATTGAAATAACGTGACTTCCAGTTTGCATCGGAAGTTATTACATAAATAATCGAGGCATCCTGTCCCGAAGCTTTCTATATCTGGTCTCGTCTTTCATCTATCTAACTTTGTTCTCGAAATTAAGAACAGACATACAGACAAACAACAGTGGGCATTTATATGTCTACAATTTTTTTTAAATTGCAGCCAAATATATATGCTAAAGGGCCCTCTCACGAAATAGCAATGTGTTATCACGAAATTACCCATGATATCACGAAATAACCACCTGTACGCAACATAAAAAATATACTCCTAGAAAACTAAGATATAAATATATTCATAATGATAAAAAGCCATGCTGTTATCTTGAGAGTATGGTCCCTTTAATAGTATAGTTAACATGTCCATTTACGAATATATATCCGATAATTAAAGAATAATTAATTTTATCACGAATTTACCAATGTTTACCCTACTTAATGCAAAAATACTTTTTGCTATTAACATCGAAGGAGTCATTTTATTAAAAAATATTTAACTTTCATTTGCTTGCCATTTCCTATGCCAATATTTCGCATAAATTACATATATTTATTGTTCATGAGAAATTTTAGTTGAGGAAAATATAAAAAATTAATCCAGTATAAATGTTATGATTATTATAAGTTAGATACATCATTTTCAGATTAATTTTACATTAAATAAACAATTTTCAACAAAAAGCGAATAGATTAAACATTTCTGTAACAAAAATTCACTTACTTTCTTCTAGAATCATTTAGTAACTTATATTATTATTATTTTGGAGTTGTGATATGATAACACATACATTCACACAATAATCATATAATTTGCAGTACTTTTTTACTTGTTAAAAACATAAAATTTCTATATATAAGGTCCCTTTAATCCAAAAAAAAAGTTGTTTGGTAGACGGTCTCACAGCATTTTGAGACCGTCTATCAAAAATTTTTTTTTCGGATTAAAGGGACATTATATATATATAAACTGAATAAACAGCAACCATATTACATTAATAAAAATAAAAATACAAAACAAGCGTTTGTAAACATATCACAACACAAAATAGTCGCTTAATTCATAGTTCAAATTTGGATTAAAATGAATTCTAAAAAGAATGAAAGAAAAATTTTAAATTTATACCGATATAAATATGAAAATTTATATTTATATTATGTTTATTCTTTTAAGAGAAGACGAAACATTAAAATCACAAAATAAATACAAATACAGTTGTCCCTCGATAATCCGACAGGGTGGGATATATTAAATTTGAAAATTTTATTTGTTTGAGTACACTGTCATTTTATAACTGATAGCAAAACGATCTCTATTGTAAGAAGAAGAAGAAGAAGAATGGAAATTTGAGAAATGTTGTAGGAGACTAGATTTATCTTAACTTTACAAACAAAATATTGATGGCAAGTGAAGTATTCTTTGATATTTCAATAAGCTAAGAACTGGAGATATATTTAAACACGCGGTTATTACAGTAGAGTCCCGAAAACTCGGCCTAATGTGGACCGAAGGGTGGCCGGGTTTGTGAAAATGCTGGGTTATCGAAAATGGGGTTAAAAAACAATAAGTAAGAGTGTTTCCTCAGAAAATACTGTACTGTACTTGTAGGTATTGTTTGCTCGAGAATACAACAGAGAATAAACTGCCCAAATACCCTTAAACAAAAGTACGTACCTGTACTTTATGAAGGCATAGAGCCTTTACTACATAAAAATGAAAGTTAATGAATACACAGTGTACAGTAATTTACCTGATAAGACAGATTTCAGAAAAATGCTTTATGAGGCATAAAGTTGTCTATAATGAAAATTAACTAGGGGGTTTTTTCGTCCTGCCAGAATGTGGCCGAGTTATCCGAACTGCCGGGTTATCGAGTCCTCGGCACTCTACTGTATTTTATTTTATTATACGTTTAAATTTCCTTAGTTACTTGGACAACATTCTTAGCTTTCGCTGTGAAATTCTAGACATGTCGAACACAAGGACGATTTAATAATTAATTATCGTCGATTAGAGAAGTAAAATAATAGACTAATATGTATAACTTACATATAACGTTAATTGAACATATCTTGAGTATCTGTCATACTTTTTAGGTCCAAAATGAAGTACGACAGAATAGCCAATATATTACGAAATTACTACGTGAGATGCCATCAAAATGTCGTCAATGTAAAAAAGAAAAATTTTTTAAAGTTTCGGGGATAGANTCTAAAATAGCGCAGTAGAAGCCGTTCTTCCGGTTAAGACTTAATGCTCTCCCTCTCCCCCCCGCGTTGGAATTTCGAAAAATCCTTTCTTAGTGTGCGTTTCCATGACGTACCCTAACTGTGTACCAAATTTCACCTCTTTAGGTTAAGCGGTTTGCTCTGGGCGATGATGAATCAGTGAATGAATGAATGAGTCAGTCAGGACAAGCAATTTTATATATTTAGATAAAGCAAACTAAATAGTTTGTTTTATTTACTATAAAAACATTTATTATATCTTAGTTTCAAGATTCAGTTCAGTTTTAAAGGGATTCGAAAAGTATAAAGATATTTTTCGCTATAATAGAACGAGCAAAAATCATTACGACATAGTCACAATGCTGGGCTGCAATTTTAGTTTTCTCTCTCGATCTTAGTAGGGTCTTGCCCCTGTACATCATACTATTCCTGCTAGCAATAGAGTCATGTCGGTCATCTAACTCCGTTCTGGAAAAAATTTTTGAATGGAAATAACGAGATTACCGGTCCAGACCCGAAGTTCGTATATCGGCGCTAAACTTTCTATATCTAGTCTCAACTTTCATTTAGTTCATTTCACGAGATTAAGGAAGGACAGAGAACGGACTCGAATGGAAATTTACAGGTCTGCAATTTGAAGATTGAAGTCTAATAATTCAAAGTTAATTAACTGATGACTGATACTGTTTTAATAAAAATATTTTTGCTGGCATAATGGAAGGTGGATTAATGTGTTTATTTTGTTCAAATGTTTTAAATTTATTCTGTACATATTTGACATTGCATTCTACAGGATGTCCCAAAAATTACTATGCAGTAATGTCATTTTTTTTCAGATATTTTCAAATTAAATATTTTTTTCGTATAAATTATTGACTTTAAATGCAACATGTTACATCATCGACATTTTAAAAAATAAACTCGTCCAAACGTTTTACATTTTTAATCTCGTGTTTTGTAGAAATTTCGAGTCTCCGTAAAATTTAAAACAATATTGCACTATTAAAATTATAGGAATGAAGAAATTCATCTGGAGTAGACTGTAGACAGAGCCGTGGAGACATTAAGAGAGAGCTCCTTTAACCTTTAGTTTGTTGAACAAATCAAATAATAGAATGTTTATTAATAAACGGTCTTACAGATTTTATTTTTATTAGTAAAA